TATATATATATATACACGAGGACTGTTCTGTATACGAAGGGCGTTCCATAAATAATGCCTCCTTTTTTTTTTGTGTTAATATGTAATGTCTGAGATGGATGGTGGTGTTGTAGTAAAGGTTGAACCTTCCCGCCAATGTACTGTTAATTTGGTTGTCGTGCGAGCAGTCTACCAAAATTGTGTCTGACATAGAAGTGCATATGAAACAGAGATGTGTTATTGAATTTCTCACTGCCAAATAAATTGTACCCATTGACATCCATTGACACTTGCTAAAGGTGTATGGAGACAATACAGTGGATGTCAGCACAGTGAGGCAGTGGGTACTGCATTTCAACAGTGGCCAAAGTGAAGTGCACGACAAGCCATGCCCTGGGTGTCCCTGCTCAGCTGCCACTCCTCACAATGAACAGATCGGCAGATAATGACCAGGGAACTGTGTGCACGGCTTAATATTGGCTGTAATGTTGGGGAAGCTGGATTATCGCAAAGTTTGTTCCAGGTGGGTCCCACGAATGCTTACACAGGACCACAAAACTCCTCGAATTGAAGTTTGTCAGGACTTGTTGCACCAGTTTGAGGCTGAAGGTGAGAAGTTTCTGGACAGCATCGTCATTGGAGATGAGACATGGTGTCACCACTATGAGCGGGAATCCAAAAGACAGCCCGTGGAGTGGCGATATCTGGATTCCCCAAGAAAAAAGAAGTTCAAGACACAGCCATCAGCAGGGAAAGTGATGTGCACGGTCTTTTGGGATAGGCAGGGTGTGATCTTCTTGGATTTCCTGGAGCCTGGTGAGACTGTCAATTCTGACCTTTACAAGACGATGCTGACTAAGCTGAAAGCCCGCATTTCCCAAGTCAGGCCAGAGAAGCAGACAACCTTTCTCTTGCAACACGATAACGCTAGACCCTATACCAGTTTGGCGACCACCGCACACATTGCAAAGTTTGGCTGGACTGTCCTACCACATCCACCCTATAGCCCCGGTTTAGCACCTTCAGACTTCCATCTCTTTGGGCCTATGAAAGATGGACTAAGTGGGCAACATTTTCCAGACAACGATGCTGTCATTGCAGCTGTAAGAAAGTGGCTAGCCTCTGCTGGCGCAGACTTTTACAGGCACAGCATACAGGCTCTTGTTCATCGCTGGCAAAAGGGCATAACGAATGGTGGTGATTATGTGGAAAATAACTGTAAGTAGCTGAAATCTTAAATGCTATGCCATGAAGGCATGGGGGAGGGGGGTGACTGGACATATAGCTCCACCATCCTTAACCTTGGAACTTGATAGAGGTGAGTGGTCAGCTTCATGTCTTGCCCACTTTACCCCCAGAGACATTGTCACTGGTACCCATTAGATAAGAGACTGAGCAGGTCCCAGAGCCAGTCTGGATTGTGTGGAGAGGAGAAAATCTTGCCCCAGACAGGAATGGAACCTCAGCTGTCCAGCCTGTAGCTTGTCGCTGTACTGACTGAGCTGTCCGACTTACCCCATTATGAAGATAAATAAAAGCAGAATTCAGTGAATTGATATGAAACTTAGAGGAAGGTGGAATTAAAAATTTGTTCCAAGATTTAGAAAAAAGTCAGTTCGAACGTTTAAGCCATGTAAAGAGAATGGATAGAACTAGGATAATGAGAAAGGTATTAAAATTAAAATTTAGAGGAAGGGATGACAGAGAACAAGATGGTTCAGCCAGGTAGTGTAAGACCTCACGAAGAGAGTAAAGAGCTGGCAAGTAACTGAAGTTGAAAGATTGTGGGAAGACAGAAGACATTGGAGACTTCTTGTTCATCGACCTGTGTCAAGTTGCAATGGTACTAAACGAATGATAAACTTAATGAAGAGTGCTATCTTCTCGGCAGAAGTTCACTGACATTTCAGAGGTTCAAAGAATAACTCAAGCAGCTACCAGGATCCTCTGAAATGCTGAACTTTCACTGGGCTACATGGCATTGCATCCCAGAAGATAGTACATGTCAGTCACTGCTGTGACAACCTTGTATCTCACAAAGAACTTTAATATTCATGGTCTTGAATTGAAGTTCTTATGAAGGGATAGAAAGCTGGATTGTTTAAACTTTTGAAAGTCATTGCTTTGGAGACTTGATAGGTGTTTGAGAGGCTTTGGGGTTCCATCCCCCTCTGAACAATAGAAGTCATTAATAATGTTAGTACTTAAGATTCTGAGGTCAGTAGAATGGCTTCCTTCTGTAAAAAGTCAATTTGGCTGGTTGTGAGCAAACCTGTGGCATGTGGACCCTGTGAGCTAATTCTTGGGCACATCCAGATATTGAGAAGTTGGTGGCAAAGAAGCAGTGTCAGGCTTCTCATTAATATTTGTCCATGCTAATATTAATAATGAAAGTCATAACTGTATCATATTACCACTAATTATTTTTGTTAAATGAAAACTTAATGTAAAGATGTTTTTTCAGTAAAATTTAAATTTTATTTTTGTCATTTGACTTCCTTCCCAGCAATTCTGAAATTTGCTTCTTGTACAATGAATTGGCTCAGCGCTGCATTAGACCATATGTTACAAAGAGAGAAGGAATCTGGTGTCATTAGGTTATAACACTGTATAGTTGGATCAGGTGGTCACCAACATGCCAGAAGCACGCATTGCCTCAATCTCCTGGGTAGGTGATGGTGGTAGTAGGTTCCGTGGAACATCAGTAACCACCTGATCCAACTATACAGTGTCATTCACAAGCCAGAAGATACTGCACTGTCAGACATCGTCTAATCTCAAGTAATATAATGCTCAAGTACGTATGTTACTTTGATTTTCAGAAATTCGTTCGTTGGTCAGATCTATAGAGAACCCACCACGGGAGATGGTTCGTCAGCTAGAAAAGAAATTAGAGAAATGCAGAAACCAGGAAAATAACCCAGACAGTGAAATGTAAGTAGCCTGCTCAAAATTTAAACATGGTCTCTTAAACTCTTAATTTTCACTGTCAATAAGTAAAGATAATATGAAACTATAATTAAATGAATGAAAATGGTAACAATTGAAATCATTATAAAACAAGTATTCCCCAGGCGGAATTCATAAGGCCCACTTTTGTGTTTCATTTGTTTCTAGGCCATCAGGTCTTATTATTTTTATTTTATTTTTAAGAAAAACTTATTTTTGAAGAATAGATTCTGTTTAAATTTAATTTATTGTATATAACCACAGAATTTCACACTCTCACCCTATTTGTAATTGCTCACTTAAAAAAGGTAAACCTATCCCTGTAACGTGCTGTGAGGTGTCAAGGTTCCCACATTCTCTCTAGACAGATAGCTCACAGATTCGCTTAGTGGGGGGGTGGAGTCCAACTGGGTCCACTCGGCACAGCAGCCATTGATTGGCGTATTGTAGCCTGCCCAGGGTGATTATGATAATGGGAAATTTGGTGGAATGAAGATTGGCAAGGGAAACCGAAGTACTCTGAGAAAACCCACCCCAATGCCACTTTGTCCACCACAAATTCCACTTGACCAGACCTGGGATCGAACCCAGGCCACCATGGTGGGAAGCCAGCAACTAACCGCCTGAGCTATGGCAAGGCCATGGCTCACAGATGGCAGTAAGACTGTCAGTCCTACGTGCCAGCCGCCCTTTACTCCCCAGGAAGATTCCTGGTACTCATTTCTGTTAGAGGCTGAGTAGACCCCAGGGCCATAGTGCGGCTGGAAGGATTAGATAAATTAAAAAAAAAATCCACCGCATCAGGACTTAGACCTGCGACCTTTCAGCTTGTAGCTTAGTGCCTCAACCAGCTATGCTACCATGTGCCCCAATTGTTCACTTACAAACAGTATTTTATACTTGATGTGTAGGTTTGATCATGGTGTGTTCCCATACCAGGTTGCACATCCTGGCACCAGTTATTCATCTGTTATTGCCATCAGACTGAAAGTGAAATAAAATTTTGACATGGCTGTAATGTTATTGTACATCCCACAAGAAAGATTTATTAATAAGCGTTGTATTTTTTTTTTTTTTAAAGATCTGTTATTCCTAAACAGAATATGAGGGTTGTTCAGATGAAACATGTTCACATTACTGCTTGCAAATGCAGCCAGCCACAGGTGATCATGTGGCTGTGGGTATGACACACCATCAGCCATAAGACTGAGCCTTCTGGTGCAACAGTGGAATGCCTGCTTCAACAACTGCTATTTTAAAATGGCCTCCACTCCTTTGCACAGAATAGTCCCCAAACAGGTTCAGTTTGAATGACCCTCATGTGAGTTAAATTGGAAAATGTTGAGTTCCTTGATCAGTGAGTTATAAATTCATGGTGGCTGGCAGTGCTAATCAGTATTGCAGATTGCAGGTTTCTGTAATAAATTGTGTGAAACTGTTCTTAGTTCCTTGATCAGGGTATTACAAATTATTTTCCTATGAATTACAAAAAATTGCCACAAGTTGCCCCAAATGAAACACTACTATTTTATTTTATGCCCACAATGACATTGTGAACCATCTCTGGAACCTTAGAATCCTTAATCATGAATGCATGTTTGTTTTCTAGGAGTTTGATTCCTTTGAAGTATTAAGTTCATCAGAATCAGAAAATCAGTTCCTACTTCACAAGAAACACTCACTCACTCATGGAGCTGAACCCTTCTTGAGAAGCTGCTAATTGTACAACTACTCAAGAACTTCCCAGCATTTTATAGAACCCATAGGTTCATTACCATGTTCACAAGAGCCCTCCACTGGTCCCTACCCTGAGCCAGATCAGTCCAATCCATACCATCCCATCCTCTCTCTCTAAGATGCATTTTAATATTGTTCACCCACCTACATCTTGGTCTTCCCACTGTTCTCCTCTCTTCTGCCTTTCCCACCAATATCCTATATGCATTCCTCCTCTCCACCATTCGTGCTATATGCCCTGCTGATCTCATCCTCCTTGACTTGATCATTCTAATTGTACTTGGAGAAGAGTACAAGTTATGAAGCTCCTTGTGTTAGGTTGGTCCCTTGTCACCACAGCAGGGTGCATCCTCAGGTTGTCAGTGGAGGAGATGCCCTCCAGGTATGGAGGGTAGTGCGATTATAATGAATAAGCAGTTGCAGACAGCCAACAAGGAGTGGTCCTCCAGCTTGGCATTTGGGCATGGGACTAACAACTCCTCACCATAAAAGAAATAAGCTCGCTATGAAAATGTTCAAAAAACTGTGAACTTGGACGGATTCCTTAGGTAAATGACATCACAGGACACAACGTTACAAAAACCAACTGATTAATGATCTCCAAGAAAATTATCAGTATTTATTCTGCGAATCATACAAAAGTCAGCAAAATGTGGAGCTTCTGATCATTAAAGACGGATGGCCAGTGTAGTAATCGCTATGGATGTGTAAATTTGTATGCAGGTAATAAACTGGGATATGTGTGTTATAGGATGAGATCAGTACATGGCTAAATACTTTCTACAGAAAATTATCTGATATGATTTTATCCTTCTGCAGCTACAAACAGCGAATGCAGGACATGCTGGACGAAGAGGACGAACGCAGCAGTGAGACCTATGCTCGGCTTGCTAGGGAACAGGCTAATGATGAGGAAAGATTACTAGGAATTTCGAAAGTCTTGTCGCCTTCAGCATCATGAATAAAAAAGTAAGTTATGAAGCCTCATTTACATATTTTTATTAACCTGCTCTAGGTCATATGTTAGAAGACAGACACTGAAGCCGTCTTTTGGGAATCCTGATTGAGTGTAAAAAATTGTAGGTTTGCAAGGATTTTGAAATATTAAAAATTATCTGGGCAAGTGCTGGGCCAGAGATGAAGCCCCAAATTTCATGACAGAGGATGCGATAATGTGTTGCCCTGTCAGGGCTCTCAACACACCTTGGGGGGACATGGTGAATGGGTATGGAGCAATGGTGGACTGATGTTTAGCGAGAAAAACTGAAGAAACTTTGAGAAAATCCTACTCCAGTGCTACATTATCCACCAGTAATGTCTCATGAATTTACATGAGATTGGAAAGAAGTCTGCATGGTAAGATTGAAAATAGAAAATTAAGATCATGGCATTCAAGGCATGTGCATGAAAATTGTTCTTCAAGATATTTTGAAATATATGTGATATTTTAATAATCTCGAATATCACTTATCATTTACTTTGACAAAAATAAGAACAATAAAATACATAAATATCAATGAATGTATGAATCCATTACAAAGATTTTAAAATGTAAAGCAAAAAGTGAAACTCAGATTGTATTTTATATAGTATTAGCATTTGCAGCTGTATGGTCTAAAATTAAACTGGACTTTTAACAGGGAACAAAAATGGATACAATCTATAGATATTAAATTTTTAAGTATTGCTGTTTATACATTACTAATTTGGGTGGGACACAGAATGGGTAATATGGCAGAATCTGTTCCTATGTTCGCAGTCTGAGATAGAATAAGTGGATACAACATCTAGGCGGATAATAAACAAGACCAGAAACGTGCAATCAGTACTGGATTACACACAGTTTTCATGTGCGTTTCTAGCATTGTGGCATTCTAAATTCATATAACTGTTCCCAAATATCTTTAATGAAAATGTTAACTATAATAAACACAGCTCTGAGTAGTATATTTACTGTTGGTTACTATTTTGAAGTGGTTACTGTAGCTTTATCATATGAAGGATAGGATTCAGTGGTAGGATCTTGTAAATATGGTAATTAACCTTCAGGTGCCATGAAAAGTGGGAAATTTATTGTCCAGCAGTGAATATCTCTCTGTATTCATGCACGTCATAAACAAGGTTCATCTTATAGGTAGTATTTGGCTGGCATAAGTCAGTATTTAGTTAGTCAGCAGTTGGGAATACTGTTCTAACATACTTCTTATAGGTACAAGGTGGTTCAAATATGACCGGGACTGATTTGTGTGTAAACAAGCTGCACTGTGCAGTAGCTGTGTGACCTTGAGAGAGTGAAGCCACAACCTCTACCCTCCCTCCTGTTTGGGTTAGAACTGTTCAGTCTTGCCTGGAGGTTGCTAGAGTCTAGAGCAAACAGAAGGTTCCGCGGAGCGTGGATCAACGCATTGTGATCAAATTCCTCGTTGGAGAAAACTGTTGTTGGAGTCTGTGCTGAAATTCACCAGACTCCAACAACAGTATGGGGAAGATTATCTCATGGACCCATGAGCATGAGTGGTGTAAGTGCTTCAGAGAGGGCAGAGAGCGCTTGGAGAATGAACTGCATGATCGTCGCCCATTAACATCCATCACTGAGCCTAACATTGATCGTGCAGATGCGCATATTCGTGAGAATAGGTGCATCACTATCAAGGAACTTGGACCAATGCTGTCCATCAGTGCTGGTAGTGTAGAAGATATCATGAAATACCACCTGCACTATTCCAAGGTCAATGCATGGTGGGTACCATGTACTTTGATGGGCGTGAACAAAATGGTGCTCATGCAAGCTGCCAGTCATCTCCTACAGCTGTTTGAAGACGAAGGTGATGCATTTTTGAAGTCTGTAGTGACCACCAATGAAACGTGGGTGCACTACTTCATTCCCGAGTCGCAGCAGTCATCACCCGAGTGGCGGCATACCAATTCTCCGAAACCCAAGAGAGCGTGGAGGAGCCGTTCAGCAGGAAAAGTGATGGCAATATTCTTCTGGGACTGGCAAGGTGTTACCCATGTAGACTTTCTGACAGATGCCAGAACAGGCAATGCATCTTATTACTCAGACCACCTGGCAACAGACCTGAAGGAAAAGATCCGATCCAAGTGGAAGACAGGTGGAAAGCAGGTAACCTTCCTTAAAGACAATGCACACCCCCATACGGCCAAAACAACAATGGAAACCCTCCGGAAATTGAAATGGAACCTTCTGACCCATCCGTCGTACAGTCCCAATTTGGCCCCAAGTGATTTCTAACTGTTAGGAAGGCTCAAATAAGGCTTGCAAGGCATGCGGCTTGTGGACAACGATGCTGTCGTCCAGACCGTTTGGGAGTGGACACACTGCCAACCACAAGCCTTCTTCGAAAAGGCCATCAGGATGTTTTCAGAACGTAGGTAAAAGTGTGTTGACTCCAGAGAGGAGTATGTTTAAGACTGACATGTGCAAGTAAGTGTTTGGCAATTATGGTTTTTAAAAAAAGAATCAGTCCCGCTCATATTTGAACCACATTGTATTTGGCTGGCATAAGTCAGTATTTAGTTAGTTAGCAGTTGGGAATACCACTCTAACATACTTCTAATAAGTATTTAGTTAGTCAGCAGTTAGGAATACTGTTCTAACATACCTTATGGTTTGTTGTTCATGAATCCTTAATGAAAATGGACTTATGCTGTACCAAATTACTCCAGTCTCGGCACTGGACTCAACTCAGTAAAGCTGTGAGCAAATTTTTGTTGGCTACTGTCTTTGATTCAGACATTTTCAAAATAATAGTGACACAGTAAGCTGCTGGAAAATGGCTGTGAAGTTTATTTTGCTATACTATGTACACCAGAAGTACTCTTGTTGCCAATGGAAATGAAGTTAGTAACTTGTTCAGTTTACATTTATATTCAGATACAAACATTTTAAAAGTTATAAAATTTATACTTGATATGCAATTGTCCAGTACTCCCACCAAAGATCCATTACTTAACTTACTCCTTCAAAAACATGAAATTCAAGACTTCTAATCTGTGATTTCATGTTTCTCTCTGTTTAGCATCTGTACACCTCAAGCAGATATTAATAGTTATGTACCCCAGATTTTGAGATTTGAAGTTCTTATGGCAGTGAATGTTATGATTACTGTGTTCTGGTTTCCAGCACCATGTAGTCTGGTAGAATGTTACTTAGTCTATTGTAGTAGTGGCTGTAGTAAGGTTGGAAATATGGCCGTGCCATAGCTCAAGCGGTTAGTCACTGGCTTCCCACCGCGGTGGTCCGGGTTCGATCCCACGTCTGGTCAAGTGGGATTTGTGATGGACAAAGTGGCGTTGGGGCAGGTTTTTCTCCGAGGACTTCAGTTTCCTCTGCCTATCTTCATTCCACCAATTGCTCCATCATCACCCTCGCCTATCATCTGGGGCTGGTACAATAGGCCAAAAGTGGCCGCAGTACAAGGGACTTAGTCCCACCCCACTAACAATAAAAAAAAAGGTTGGAAATGAAAGGGAACTAAAAGAGTCATTGATCATGTACAACGTATAGATAAAATCATCAATGCAGATATGCACCATTCATTACTCTCCTTAACGTAATATATATGCACGCTTACATTGCCTTGCTTATAGAACTTCCACCTCATGTCACCACCTGGAATATTGTAACATAAGGGACATTCCCCATTCTTAACTTAATGATCCTTCAGAGGGAGCTAAAACAAAGTCAGAACAATTTATTTTTCAGAAGAGTTTTGATGTAAAGGAGAAGTAGGAAGCTATGGAAGAATGGACAAGAGGAATGCTGATAGACTGAAAAATAAAAAGATAAAAGGAAGGAATATAGAAGAAAGAAGGGAAGAAGAGAAAGATATTGAAAGGTTAAAGAAAGTGATTACGGAAACTGTGTTAGTACAAGGGAGACAGAAAGAGGAGAGCAGTGACGATAGGACAGACAAATGAAAGGGATAAAGTAAATGGGCTAATAACTGTTTTTTAATGGAGATAGAGGAAAGAAGGGAAAGAGGAATTAGGATAGAATGGACCAATAAAAGGGATAGGAAAGTATTAGAGAAGAAAGTGAAGAGGATAAAGGTATGAAAATGTATAAGAGACTGCCCAGTACATTTTGAGCAGGCTATATGAGTGCTGCAATAACAGAGAAGGTCCACAAGTTTGAGAATGGCCCAATTCAGTTGTCAGAAGTTTTCCCTCCGTCAGTGTGGACTGCCTCCTCCTATGGACCCCTAAAGATGGGTAATCTTGTCTTCCTACAAACTACCAATACGTCACTCATATGAAGGCTGTTCATAGCGTTGCTACTGAGTACACTTGGTTGCCAGCAGTCATATGGCTGTGTGCATGACATGCCAGCAGTTAACCATAAGCTGTGCACTAAAATGAGTACACGGAAATAGTGTGACATGGTTAAATTCCGACATTCCAGGTGCAGAATCTGTCCAAACAGGATGCTACTACTGATATTCAAGGAACGTGACATCGTCATCAACACATCTCCTTTGTGGAATCCTGTGAGGCCTTTGTACTGCCATCAAGAGAAAATACTTCAGCATGCTCATAAGGGGTGTCATGGTACACAGCAATGTCCAACCCCATGTATTCACACTCTGGGACACGCTTCACTCCACTTGCTGGAGGATATTGTTGGACCATCCCCTTACACCCCATACCAGTCACTGTGTGACTTTTATGTGCTAGATGCCTTCAGGGAAGAACTAAAGGGCTCTAGGTTCATGTTGGACGGAGACATGAAGACCATGATGGTGTTGTGATTGCTTGCCTTGACCAGCACCCTTGCGAACTATTTCTAACAGCCTCTACTTCTTTGTCATGCATAGGTTTAATTTGAACAAGCCTTATATTACATTGGCACAGAATCACAAGAATGCCCAGAAAAGATAGCAGTACTTGTTCCACAGGAAGAATCTTTCCACAATTTGTCATTGTGAACAAGTCCATCGCATCATTGAACACCAGGATTTAACAGTAGCTGGAAAGAAAGCCATGTACTGTCCTCCCATGAAGAGAAGGCAAGGCAATTACTGAGGCCCACCAGCCTGTAGTAAGACAGCAGCAGATTTTCAGATGACTCTGTTACCATTGTGTTTCTGAATGAACAATATCGTGGTGAAAGTCAGCCAGTTCTAATCACATGCCTTGCCATTTCAGTTATTGTAGTGTAGTACGTGCCCCATTGGAAATACACAGGTCATTCAATTCAGGCATCTGATGACTCAGCCTCAGATGACATGGTCACACTGACTGATTCCATGATGCTGAATCCTTGAAAATCATACTATGTCACAAAAATCATGACATAGCTTGATGGGGACTCAAAAAGAAACTGTAGTTGTGTCAGTGTGTGTATTATTACGAGTAAATGTAATGAAAATTCTGTATTTAAGTATACTGTTGCAAGCCAAATTAAAACATCTATATATAACACAGTCTGCCAGTAATGCAACAATTATTCCTTTTCTTTTTTCCACTTATACTTTAATGCAACATGTTTCGGCCTCAGATGGCCATCCTCAGGTGTCCCAGTATGTCAAGACACGGAGAGAAATGTATTGTTCTAAACAAATGGATGACACCCCTTGTGAGGTGGAATAGAATTTAACCAAAGTGATGAAAATTTTAATAAAAAATTTTGATGGATTTTATTTTATTTTATTAAGTGCACTACAGCACGTGAATTTGCTGCATATAAATGCAGAGTAGCAGTTCTGATATATTGGGACACCTGAGGATTGGCCAACTAAGGCCGAAACATGTTGTGTTAAAGTGTAAGTGGAAGAAAAGGGAACAATTGTTGCATTATTGACGGACTGTGTTATACATAGACAATGTAATGGAAAGTCAAGTACATGGCATTCTTTACACATGGCCTCTATTTTCTGTTCTTAATTTAAGAAATGCTGCTTAGTGCTGGCCTTACTGTTCCTATGGCATTACTATTACTGGTTATGTGATCTTCTAGGTTATGACATTGTGTAGTCTCATAGGCTATTATCAACATTTCAAAGAAATTACTGTTCCCATCTTCATTTTACCTTGAAGATGAGAGCAGTATGTTCTTCTGAAATGTTGGTAACAATGAACTGCATTATGTGGTATCATAATTCTGAAGACTACAGTGTAAATATTCAGCACCATGAAAACCACAGAACTCTGAAGTCGTAACATCATTTCAAGTTCCATAAGTTGTCAGTAATGACTTCCTTGGAATCTCAGAATGAATGCAAAAATATATGGTATGAGGTCTGTGTAATGTTGCTTCAGTTCTGTAAATGTTATCCACTTGTGGCACTGCTTAAGTTCAGCACAGCAGTGACACGATATTACCAGTTATAGTAGAGCGCATAGTGACATTATTCCTCATACATGGTACATGTAATGTTTTGATTAACTTAAATCTTATTTTAATTTTATGTAAGAATGGAGATTATCTAACAGTTTAAAGTTGCACTGATGGCCTTTTTAGTAAATTCTCTTAGAATCTGAATTAAATTTTTGTAATGAAACATGGATGAATACAAGACATCAAAGATCTTCCAAATTTGATGAACATTTCAGCACAGAAAGAGCTATACATTTGGAACCTTTCAGCCAGATCATTAGTATTATACAGTATTGTTATATTCCAGAGGCAACAGTTAAACTTATTGTTATGTGCCTTTTATGCCTGTGTGTATGGAAATGGACTGCCTCTGTGGTCGAGTGGCCAGAGTTCCTGGCTACAGATCCAGAGGTCCCGGGTTCGATTCCCGGCGATACCCAATTTTCTGAGAAGTAGTGGGTCTGGAACGGGGTCCACTCAGCCTTGTGTGGATAATTGAGGAGCTACTTGAATGAAAAGTAGCGGCTTCGATCTAGAAATCCGAGATTAATGGCCATGGAAATCTGTTGCACTGACTACATGGCACCCTCTATCAGCAAAAATTGGCACTAACTTTGCCGACAAGCGGCGGTTGTTGGTCGGTATAGTTCACTTGCGGAATAAAGCCACAGAGCTTGTTTTGTATGAAAATGACCTTCAGTTATTGTATCAGGAGTAAAACGGTGTACTTTCTTGAAAACACATGTTTTCCAAATGCATTCTCTGTTCTTGTGCATTATTTCATTAACCTTGATAACTATTTATTATAAACAGGAATCTCTTCTGGTACATTTAAACCATTATTGCAACAGAAATCTATTCTTGTAGATTTAAACAATTATTGCAAAGTTGATCATATTACAGGTGTCACATTGCATGGAACTGAAAATTTGTTTTCCCTTATGTTTAAGTATATGTGCTTCAAATAAAATTGTATGTCTTAATGAAGTTTATGAGTTATATTATGGACCATGCACCATGTAAAGAAGCTACCAGTATGAATCGAAATAAATTTGTTACACCCAGAAACCCATTCAGTATTTTTCGTGCTGAAATATACAGCTCCTTCTACACTGAAGACGGAAGGAACACGTTTTTCCAAAACAGTAACATTCTACCAAACCTTCACATTCCAGAAGACTGTAATCTTCATAATAATTCTCATACAAACCTGTAACCCCCATATGGTTCGAAAGTACTTCAGTTCCCCTGCCAATCTTCATTCCACCAAATTCCCCATCATCATAATCACCCGGGGCAGGCTACAATAGGCCAATCAGTGGCCACTGTGCCGAGTGGACCCAGTTGGACTCCACCCGCCACCGAACGAATTAAAAAAAAAACCTGTAATCCCTGTTGATATTTATTTTTCCTTACTACTTGTTTCCAGTGCCACTTGTCTCATACAGTTTAAATTGCTTGGATCAGGTACAGTGGCTTACTAACCATATTATATGATTGTTCAATTGTAGGTAACACCATAACCTGCTTCTTTTGTTCTTATGGGTTGGCATGTTCTTGCAGTAAACATAGTGTTCAAACAGAAACCTTGTCATTATCAGTACTGTCCATCATTATTTCTCACTGGATATATTGTAGAATTATTTACTGGTAACCATGGATTCAAGCATCATTAGTCCATAGTGCTGTTATACTGTCACGTGTATAGATGGGGTTTGGATTGGATATTGGATTTATTGACCACTTTAGCATATGATGCATGACTGCACTTAACTATAGTGCCATTGCTGATTGCCACACTTTACAAATCACTAGAGCACACAGAGTAGTCTTCTCAGTCTACTGTGTCTTCACCATTCATTACCTGATAATGGCTTCTAACAGTGGAGATTCTTCAGCTTCCACACTCACTTTGTTGCCCTCTGGCTCTCAACTGCACTGACTCCCTTAAGCTCTCTCTGATCTCTTGCTCCAATTGTCCTCCTTATAACAACCTGGCATGGACCGCATAGAAAACACTGTTCATTGTTGTATTCCAGTCATTTCCATGGGAACATATTTGTTTGTGAAGTGTTACTCAGTAATGGCTGCATGTACGTGCTTATTAAGAATCTGTTGCCTAGCAGCGGATGTTCTTTCGTTGTTTATTTCAAGGTCATTACCTGGTAACGGGTCTGCGTTCTACAATACATAACTGATAACTGCATTTTATATTTTCTGTATTACTATTAGTGGCTACATATAGTGGCTATATATTAGACTTCTAAATTCATGAGATCCAGATATCGAACTACAAGGTGGTTCAAATATGATCGGAACTGATTTTTTTTTCAAACCAAAATTGCCAAACACTTGCACATGTCAGTCTTCAACGTACTCCCCTCCAGAGTCAACACATTTTTTCCAATCTTCTGGAAACATCCTGATACCCTTTTCAAAAACTTTTTGTGGTTGATGGCGTATCCACTCCCGAACATTTTGGATGACGGCGTCGTCCACAAACCGCATGCCTTGCAAGTCTGATTTGAGCCTTCCAAACAGGTAGAAATCACTTGGTGCCAAATTGGGAAGGTACGGCGGATGTGTCAGAAGGTTCCATTTCAATTTCCGGAGGGTTTCCATTGTTTTGGCTGTATTGGGGCGTGCATTGTCTTGAAGGAAGGCTACCCGCTTTCCACCTGTCTTCTGCTTGGATCAGATCTTTACCTTCACGTCTGTTGCCAGGAGGTCTGAGTAATAAGCTGCATTGACTGTTCTGGCATCTGTCAGAAAGTCTACATGGATAACCCCCTGCCAGTCCCAGAAGAACGTTGCCATCACTTTTCCTGCTGAACGGATCCTCTGCGCTCTCTTGGGTTTGGGAGAACTGGTATGCCGCCACTCGCATGATGATTACTGGGCCTCGGGAATGAAGTAGTGCACCCACATTTCATTGGTGGTCACTGTAGACTTCAAAAATGCATCACCTTCATCTTCAAACTGCTGTAAGAGATGACTGGCAGCTTGCATACACACCATTTTGTTCATGTCCATCAAAGTGCATGGTACCCACCATGCATTCACCTTGCGATAGTGCAGGTGGTATTTCACGATGTCTTCTACACTACCAACACTGATGGACAGCATTGCTCCAATTTCCTTGATAGTGATGCGCCTATTCTCATGAATAAGTGCATCTGCACGATCAGTGTTTGGCTTGGTGAGGGATGTTCGTGGCCGATGATCATGCAGTTCATTCTCCACGCGCTCTCTGCCCTCTCTGAAGCACTTAACCACTCAAACACACGGGTCCGTGAGAGACACTCTTCCCCATACTGTTGTTGTTGAAGTCTGTGGTGAATTTCAGCAAACAGGACGTTTTCTCCAACGAGGAATTTGATCACAATGCGTTGTTCCACACTCCGCGGTACCTTCTGTTCACTCATCACTCTAGCAACTCCCAGACAGGACTGAACAGGTTCTAACCTTAACAGGAGGGAGGGTGGAGGTTGTGGCTTCACTCTCTCAAGATCGTACAGCTGCTGCGCAGTGCGGCTTGTTTACAAAAAAATCAGTCCTGGTCATATTTGAACCACCTAGTAGTTGTGCCGTGGGCTGTACACGAACATAGTTGTCTGAGGCACAGAAAAGTAACTCAGACATAAGAGGTTTTTCTTACCTCCTTATAAAATATTTTCCTAAATATGAAGAGTATAGTGAATGGCTTACCGTCTGGTGTGTGTATGTATGTGAACCATTATATACATTGGAAGCACTGCAGCGGTAATATTTCTGGCATTATCAATATCTTAAGTATTACAGTATTCATAAAACTTCTGTGTACAGCCAACTACGTGGAACAAAGTCCTCAAGAAACTAATATTAACTTTACTGGTCAAGGAATTCCTTGCCTCCCATGGAACCTGAAGGTTCATTACTATATTCACAAGAGTCCACACTGAACAAGCTGGCTAAAGTAGGAGCGCTTCTCACTTGTATCTGGGAGGTGACTGGTTCAAGTCTTAGCCAGGACACACTCTACCTTGACTGAGGTTTCAGTGGCCTTCCTCAGACCCTGCACAAGAGTGCTGGCATAATACCTTGAATTAGGCCAAAACTCTCCTCCTTGAATATCCTTTACATTTCTTTATATGTACTTTATCATACAGATGTTCAGCACTTACAAAGTCTGAGCTACTGATGGCATTGTTAAATAAAGTAAAAGAAGACCCCTGTCCTGAGTCAATTGAATTTAATTTACACTGTCACATCATATTTCTTTAAGAACCATTTTAATAGTATTCTCTTGTCGAGGCCCAAGTTTCCATGCTATCTTGCATACATAAGCCAGAAATGTTACTGTATATAACATCTTCCAGTTTGCCAAAACAGGGATGTAACAAGTTGAGCTTAGCTCTCTTCTTAATTCGCACTGTCTTAGTAGGAACACTGGTTTTTCGGTTATGATACCTTGGTTACTATTGTCTCAGAAACTCCTACCCTGAAAATGCAGCAGGTTTCACAGACACAGAGTCAACCCAGAAGACCACAGTTCATATCTTCACCACCATGAAACTTTCAGTCTGAATATTATAGTAATCAACTTTTGAGTATCATCAGCCATTTGAATTTCCCTGTAAACCTTGAATGGAACTAGAAGTGCTGGAAAATTGATTGGATGAGGGTTGATGTATCTCCAGCCCAATGTTGGTGGGGTGTTCATAACTGTGATGGGGTGTAACTAAGTTGCTTGTTAGATGTTGGGCAGCTTGAATGCAGTGCTGCGGTGGGGGAGGTGGTGGCAGCCCAAGTAATGGTGGCAGAGAGTGGCTTTGATGTGGGGAGAAATTTGGTGCAGTTGATAAGAGTGGAGGTCCATTGATACCGTGATGTTGAGGTCCTGTGTGTGGGTAGTTGAAGAACCTGCAAAACACAAACAAGAAGTCATTTTAATCCAAAACTGTTTTTAATGAGAATACAACAATCCTGAGGAATGGGAGAAACTTTCGGATTTTTGTAATTTGTATGTGCCAAATATATTATGGGGATAATTACAGCAAGAATAATAAGGTGGGTGGGGCATGTAGCACAAATGAGAAAAAAGATAAATTAATAGACATTTTAGTAAGAAAACCTGAAGAAAAGATACCTCTCAAAGACCTAGCACAGATAGGAGAATGTGGGGTATTTGTTCAAAGCAAGAACTGTGGAATCAGAGAAACAGCCATTGCTAGGTAATGCCCCGCACGCAACAGTAGAAGAGATGTGTCTATATGTGACACAGCCATTCCTATGTAGCACCTGCAGCATACGCATGCATGGTGATGTCACACAACATTAGAAGAGGTGTTGCCAGCAACATTCTCTGTGGGTCTGCTCTGAGGCTGTATGACCAAGTTCAGTTCAGGATCAAGTGCAATGTGGTTAAGGCTGTTAATTGGAGGAGTTGAGAGTTTTATCCAGAGGGCAATGGAAGCTGAAGATTCTTTACCAGGAAACATCTAGTGAAAACACTGCAGAGGAATAGCCATTGTTGAGAGCTGTTACCAAGTAAAGACTACATGGTGTGTCCAGGATCTGTTAGGACTCATTTTTTTTTAAATTTTGCTTTGCAATGCCATCTGTTGGCGAGGTGTGGCATTAAGATTCTTGAAGTTTCAGCCATGGCTGTCTATAATTTCAAAGCTCAGACATCGTTGCATCATGTGTTCTGACCTTGAATATAACAGTACTGTTCTGACACTCGTCGGAAAATGGCGGTTAAACAGAGCCAACTTCAAATTTTGTTTGAAGTTAGGCAAAACAGCCGGAGAAGCATACAAAATGATGAAAAGTGTGTACAGTAGTGATTGTTTGAGTTGCTCGAACATTTTTCGATGGTATGCTGTATTTCATGATGGCAGGGAGGATATTTAACATGCTCCACATGCATCAAAGTCGAGAACACGTCGCACTGAAGACAGGACATCCAAAGGGAATCCACCGCAGTTTTAAATGCGATTTCACAGAAGGAGTATAGTGACTGTTTTCTAAAACTTTTCAATCAATTCCAACTATGTATTGATTCAGAAGGAGACTATTTTGAATAAAAAGAGTGAAATTTTGAGAATAATTCATGTCTTGTATTTTTAATGAACACAGTCCTAACAGAACCTGGACACACTGTGTAGTTTAAGTAGACTGAGAAGACTTAGTGTGGAAATCGGCAATAGTGTTATAGTAATTTGTAGTTACAACCTGTAAGTGGTCAATAAATCTATTCATCAATCAAAAGCATGCCTATAGTCACTAATACATGTGACAATATTAAAATGGACCTGAAAGAAATAGGATGGGAGAGTGTAGACTGGATTTATCTGACTCAGGACAGGGGCTAGTGACAACTCTTGTGAACATGGTAATGAACCTTCAGGTTCCATAAAATGCCAGGAATTTCTTGACTAGCTGAGCAATTAGTACCTTCTGAATAAGGATTCCACTCCATGGAGTTAGTACAAAGTTTCCAGATGTGTTCATCTTAATTTTCAATCTGTGTACATATTGCATTTATGGGGACTCAATTTGTCTGGCCCAGGATATGAGCATGCCTGCTGCTGACTCTTATGAATCTGATAGTGAACCCATGGATTCCATGAATTGCAGGGAATTTCATGACCAACTGATGACTTAGGTAGGCCACACACCAGCATGTGTCAAGACATGTAACAGTCAAGACACGCTGTCTGCAACATGACACAAAAAAAGGAGCACAGCTGAAACGAATGAGATTATGAAAATCATCACACGCTGGTCTGAGTCATGATGCTGATGTCAGCTTCATGCTGCAGACATGTGCAGCAAGACTCGGCATGTTCCTTTTCTGTGTATCAAGACTCAGATATCAGTACTCAAGGAACAGCACCAGTGTACGTTATCGACATGACGTCATGTCATCAACTAAAGAAGATGTGATAAGACACAGACACATGTTACTTTGGTGTGCAGACTTGAATCCAAATCACGAATGAAGCAAGACTGCGTCTTTTGTCTCATGTCTTGAGGTGTGCAGCCACCCTTAGTCTCTTAAGAAGCACTCAGCCCCATAGGGTGGGAATGTGAGATTCCTGCACCTGGTACATTCTGACTTTTTCTTCATTTGTAGACATTAGTTTTAATTTGAATAGGTAAAGTGTAAATATGATTTTTTCTTACACACACTGCAGTAGAAATATATTCTCAGGTTCTGAGTATGCGTATTTTCAAAATATGTTCATCAACGGTTTATTACACACTTCATTGACCTTGATGTACATATATTGCAGAGACAAATTTATTTGCGAAGGTTACCATGTTACAGATAACAAGTATGTATACTGAGACCACAGAAAGATATTGCATTGATCTACCCCCTCCACATCTCCCTGGTCTTCCCTTTCAGGCATGCCTCTCTGTATCCATCTTCAGTCAGTTGTTTGTTGTGCTAACTATTAGATATGCAAACCCTTTAGACTAGATCGGTTTTTCTCAACAACCAGGCCCTCATCTTATTGAAAAAGGAATTTACCAGGCTGCAGTCTGACAAAGGTTGAGAACCACTGGACTAGATAACACAGTTCAGTGCAGACTGAAGAAGCCCACAGCAGTAGGCAGTGTCATTGTCCGCACCATCTTTGGGACGTCCATCAATTCCCTCAGTGTAATTGTGAAAATTTTTTCTTGAATTTTGTTAAATCTACATCACATCAGAAGACATTTAAGTTAGAGTCAGTATTTTATTGAAATATAAAAATTGTATTACATTTTAATGTTTCAGGTCAATGTTTAAGAATGGTCACATAATTTTGTAACAACTTACCAGAGCCTGTCTCCAAGGAATATTGGTCTAGGCGCCATGACACCTATGGAGTTATAATATTGCTGTGCCAGTAACTCCAGGTCATTAGTGTACTTCCTTTTCCACTTGGTGCGACGATTCTGGAACCAGATTTTGATCTGAAAATAAATAAAAGAAAAGTTACAAGAAATTGCATTTGGATTGATTGACCCTTCTTCTAAAAGATTAGACCTCTTGGGATCTGACATCATTGGTGCTACTGCTAGAAAGGTATTTTGTAACATATAAGCATGTACATTGAAAATATTTTGGTATAGTGTTACATCAGTTACTTACTAATGGAACTGAGCCCTTCTTGAGGAGCTGCCAATTCTGCAACTACTCAAGAATTTCCCAGCATTTTATGAAACTCTAAGGTTCATTACTGTGTTCACAAGTGCCCTCCACTAGTCCATATCCTGAGCCAGATCAGTCCAATACATACCATCCCATCCTATCTCTCTAAGATCCATTTTAATGTTGTCCACCCACCTACACCTTGGTCTTTCCAGTGGTATCTTTCCTTCTGGCTTTCCCACCAATATCCTATATGCATTCCTTTTCTCCACCATTATTGCTACATGACCTGCCCTCCTCATCCTCCTTGACTTCATCATTATAATTATACTTGGAGTAGAGTAGAAGTTATGAAGCTCCTCATTATGCAGTTTTCTCCAGCTCCTGTCACTTCATCTCTCTTCGGTCAAAATATTCTCCTCAACACCCTGTTCTCAAACACACAATTATTATAAATATCAGCAAAATATTTTGCTCCTTCAACACGTTTTATATTACTGTAATGGTAGATTTGTGTTTGAAAATAAGTCACGGATGTCCTCCATAGTGCAATGCGTCACAATACTAAACAGGCAGAGGTATCAGTAACTCACCGAGGTTTATACAAATATTCTGGAACTGTCTGGTTCAAATGTACTAATTATCCTCACGGAGGCTCCACAGAAAATTGCTGGCACAGTATCTTAAAATTGAATTGGACCGGTTCCCTTCATGTCATTCACAATTAGTAGAGAACCTGTACAGTTAATAAACCGTTGTTAAGTGAACTAAGGAACGAACAGTTCACGGAGAGGAGAACATGTTCGAGAAGAGATCTAATGTATTCACCATTGATTTGTAATGGCTACCATCACTATAAAAGAAGCCATGATAGCGCAGTCAATATAGCAACTGGTTACAGGCTGGACGACCTAGGAGTAGGAGTTCGAGTCCCGGCAGGGTCAAGAATTTTCTCTTCTCCACGTCATCCACGTCCACCCAACCTCCTATCCAATGAGTACCAGGGACTCTTTCCCCGGGGGTAAAGCGGCAGGGGCATGATGCTGACCACTCACCAACTAGTGCCGAGGTCAAGAAAACGTGGTTCTATACATCCACGCCCCATACGCCTTCATGGAGTATTGCTTACCTAATTAAACATAGGGATAGCTTTACCTGTTTACATTTACTATCGCTATAAATGTAGCGTTTAATGTATGGGATCTGATTTAGGTATGAACTGAGAGCGAACCAATGAAACATCAGTTTACAGAGAATTGGCTGTTTGCAGGATGACACCGCCCCAAACACCAGTTGCAAGAGTAGAGACATGTATTCCAGTGGAATGTACGTGTTTTCGTAACGCAGTTTTTGCTCCAAATACGTATCATGTTTTTGGACATTATCCATCGTCTTGTCTTTATCTAAAAATCAGCCTGTTTATTTTTCAAAACACAACGTTTCGGAGAGTGGACTCTGTCCCCTTCTTCGGGTAAAACCTACTCAGTTGAGCCCGATCGAGCTAGTCCCTATGTTGCTGTTTTGCAACCTCATTGACCTTGGCGTTCACCTACATTTAAGGATCGTCATGCGCATCCGCCTGTTTCAACTAGAGAACCTCCTGGCGGATTTTGATGAAATTTGGTATGAGCGTTTTGCCATTGGAAACACCCAAAATTTTTACGTTATTTGCTACATTGACTAATAGCAACTTGATGGACGCACGAACTTGTGAAGTGGGAGTGACGCTAACACACCTACCTAAGTGCGGCAAAGGTAAAGCTACCCCGTGGAGGTCCATATGGTTGTGAGACGTCGCCCTTTACTGCCACGAAGATTCCTGGTACTCATTCTTGTTAGAGGCTGGCGGCTGGAAGGGTTAGGTCAATTGAAAAATCCAATGACATCGGGACTCGAACCCGCGACCTTCCGGTTGGTATCATAGTGTCTCAACCAACTGTGCTACCCCGTACCCCCAGCTAATTGCGGTAACCAATAGTAATCGTAGGAGGAGTAAAAACATGTTTCTGTTGCCTTGTGGAATGCAGATGCAATCGGATACGAATACAGAACGCCTGTGAAACGGTGCACCCCGCTAAGGCTAGTCGTCCATTGGAAGCGGAAACCTGCGAACTTGGATTCGGCCGAATCTGTGCGAATCTGTTCGTCCGAATTCGTGCGTTCACTGCGCGTCCTTTGGCTGCGTGTTCGGCCGATGCCATTCGCGTTCTGTCATGGCGCTGTCTGAAGATTTATGTGATCTGTACGCGTTTGATACTCCTTTACTGGCTAGGTGACGAGCACAGAATAGGAGAAAAGAGTGGATTAGTGGAATTTTACCAAAAAGACAAACGTTTGATGAATTTTCTCATATATGGAGTGATTCACAAGAGGACGAGTCACAGTATTTTGGTTATTTTAGCATGAAGCAAGATACGTTTGAATACACATTAAACAAAGTACATCAGTTGAAGAAGTACAGTAACTTCGAGAAACTATTTCACCTGAAGAACGCCTAGCTGTAACGTTAAGTTAAGGATTTGATAAGAGTTTGAGAAAACAAAATATTACATCGATGTTATATTATTCTTGCTTCTTAGTGACTACATACAAACCGTTGTTTCTACAAAGGATCGAAATTACTATGATACACAGCGGCACTGTTCTTGTCTGTTACAAATTCATTGCTGTGGGAACTATTATGGGAACTGCGTGTCGATTCAAGGGATAGAGGCGAAACATTTGACGTGGACATCACGCTGCTGTTTCGATCCTCCTGTTCCTGCAGTAAAACATCCATCAATTTCATGCGTAATCGCAGCTGTCTTTCTTCAGGCAAGCTCATCAGAAATTGATAGTCACTATCCTGCTTCATTTGAGAGCTCTTTTCGAAATAGCTCAACTTTTTAGATTCTATTTCGAAGAATTTGTCATCGTAATTAATTCTTTTCTTTCCTCTTTTTAGCGGACTTTTGAAATGCTCTTTTTGTGCCGGAGACGTATTTACAGGTGCATCATTCTCGATATCTGATTGAAAATCTGGAGTAGAAAATGCATCATTATATTCACTTTGTGTTGTAATATTATCAGTGCCTGTCTCAATACAGGCGTCCGCAATGTCAGGAACACTACTCGACAGATTTCTCGGTTGAACAGTATCAGTTCGTAGGTGGTGAACGCAGCTCTTCGTCCGAAAAATCCAAACCAATCTGGATATTTCGCAGTTCGCAAGTATACGCGCGTTCACTGACGAACAGTGCTGCTACCAATGGACGCACTCTAACTTGATGCAAGCTGTTAGGATCGTTCGGCCGTTTCCATGCATGTTCGGACGAACTCCTCATCGCAACTTTCCGCAGCTTTCCGCTTCCAGTGGACGAGAGGCCTAAGGACTTGTTGCAGACACGAGTCTATTAGCACTATAGATAATGTTAATCTCGTGGCTTCGTCTCCCATCCTAGAACTTAGACTGTGGTGTCGTGTTTGAGAACAAGGTGCTACGGAGAATATTTTGATCGAAAATAAATAAAGTAATACGTATAAAAACACCGTGGCCTGTAGTCCGCCAGCTAACTATACCGACCGAACAACCGCCGCTTATCGGCGAAGTTAGTGTCAACTTTTGCGGATAGTGGGTGTCACGTGGTCAGCACAACGGATCCCCACGGCACTTAATCTCGGTTTTCTAGACCAGAGCAGCTATTTCCTTGAAATAACTCCTCAATTATCCTCACGAGGCTGAGATAAAGTTCGCTTGCTGACTACAGGCCACGGAGTTTGCTTTTTTGTTTTGTAGTTACTATACAAAGTGATTCCACATTATTGTCGTGGTTTCCGTTTACAGCCCACGGAAACCCCAACAATAATTTAGAATCACTCTGCAGTTGAAATGCAATTTCACATATTTGTAATTGCATAGGAAATGAAATTCTCTGAACAGGGGTGACTACAGGGACAAACTAAGGGACCAAAATAGTCAAATGACCCATGCACACCTACTGTATTTATTTAGAGGCAGTTGTTACAGCAGGCGGTGCATAAGATCAAAAGGTCCTACAGAACAGACCAATGTTTCTGTGTGTCTGTGTATAATATGTTGACAGTTGAAAGAAATGGCTTGCTTAATGATGCATCAGAAGGTCTCGAGGACAAGGGTGGCGACAGCTTCCTACCCACTTTTGTGTCTGTCAAACTTGACAAATATATTGGTTCACTTCGCGTAGGATTCTGACAGAGGCAGGTACCGTAATGTTGGCCAAACATAGCTGGCGCTGTAACACGTAGGCCAGAGATTTTTATAATTCGCATAGTGGGGGGTGGAGTCCAGCTGGGTCCACTCGGCACGGCGGCCACTGATTGGCCTATTGTACCTGCCCCGGGTGATTATGATGATGGAGAATATGGTGGAATGAAGATTGGCAGGGGAACCGAAGTACTCGGAGAAAACCTACCCCAGTGCCACTTTGTCCACCACAAATCCCACTTCACCAGACCGGGGTTTGAACCCGGGCCGCTGCGGTGGGAATCCAACGACTAACCTCTTGAGCTATGGCGCGGCCTTAGATCAGAGTTACCCAGACGGCATTCCCTTGCCAGGTTGTAGCTAGAAATAAATTGTTTTATTTCCAATTTTCAGGTGTTCTCTGTTAGTACTTTAGGTTTTAAAAACGTATACCTGTCACGTCATGAAGACGCATGAGGGAGCGGAGGTAAAGCTCCACTATTCTTGACCTACTATTCTACTCCTGGGAAACAGCCCCCGGTAGGCATTATGTAGAAGATTGGGTGGGCCCCGGAACCGGTTTGGACTCAGTCACTCACTCATGGAGCTGAGCCCTTCTTG